TTCTGTGATTCTGTGTGAGCTGGGGCAGAGGAGGTCTTGCAGGGTGGTGGAAAGCGATGGCAGGAGTTGATCTGCAGCAGAAAGAGGCAGCTGCTGGAGGGAAGGAAAAGGGTGGGTTTACAACACGCCATAAACCCTGCACTTCTGGCGAGTGTCTGATTTTTGGGTATCCAGGCAGAAAGGTGCTGTGTCCCTGGTGTCCTGGGGGCTCGGGAGTGGAGGTTCCTGTGGTCACAGCTACTGGGGCTTCCTCTGCAGTGGGAGGGAGAGAGGGAAAAAGCCCCTGCCTGGTGACTTACCTGAGTGTAACACCTCGCAGGCAGCCCTCAGAGCTCTCTGCTGCTGGGTGCACTGGACCAGAGAGGACAATTACATGTTCAGGCTCTCGGCGTCCCGGGATCCGCTCTGGAAGTGGCTGCGGGACAACCCCGGCGCCGTCTGCCCCGCGCCCTTCTACCAGCGCGTGCTGGGCTGGCTGGAGGAGGAGCTGCCGGACCTGTCGGTGTCTCGGGAGAGAAGCCGGCTGCAGTGGGGCATCCCGGTCCCCGGCGACCCCACGCAGACGGTTTACGTGTGGCTGGATGCCTTGGTGAACTACCTGAGCGCCGTGGGCTACCCCGAGAGGCACGGCGAGTGGTGGCCCGGCGCCCACCACGTCGTGGGCAAGGACATCCTCAAGTTCCACGCCGTCTACTGGCCCGCGCTGCTGCTGGCGGCGGGGCTGGCTCCCCCCGCGCGGATCTTGGTGCACTCCCACTGGACCGTCCGCGGGCAGAAGATGTCCAAAAGCCTGGGCAACGTGGTCGAGCCCTTGGCGTGCATCGGGCGGCACAGTGGTGGCCCGGCGCCCACCACGTCGTGGGCAAGGACATCCTCAAGTTCCACGCCGTCTACTGGCCCGCGCTGCTGCTGGCGGCGGGGCTGGCTCCCCCCGCGCGGATCTTGGTGCACTCCCACTGGACCGTCCGCGGGCAGAAGATGTCCAAAAGCCTGGGCAACGTGGTCGAGCCCTTGGCGTGCATCGGGCGGCACACGTTGGACGGGTTCCGGTACTTCCTGCTTAGGCAGGGCGGGCCCGAGCGGGACCGCGACTTCTACGAGGAGAAGGT